CCCTCAAGCCCGCCAGCCAGTGCCAACCAACAATCTATCCAATACCAGCGGGTGCTGCTGACAACAACCGATCACGGAGGAGTACTGTTGCTTGTCACCGTGAGCATACACGAAAAGCAGAGGGTTCCTCTGGGAAGCAAGGCAAATCCACGATTTACACGCTTCATTAATCCACACACACTCGCATGAGGCTGTACAATGGCGAAGCAGCAGCACCATCAACACATGCCTGTTTTTTTTCCTGGATATGTGCCTGGCTCGAAAATACAGCAGTGCCCAAATCAAATACACTTAATCAACTGATCCGAAACTATGACTGGTAAACAGTACTTTATTTGATGTCTAAGATCCTTACTTATTTGGCTTAAGCAAAATTATAAACACTATTACGATAGATATTAACTAACAATGAAGCATATTGGAAATATTAAACAATGGAACTATTATATATATAATAGTTATATATAATAGTTATATAATAGTTATATATAACATGCAAAATAAATAATAATTTAGCCGAAATTAAGACGTTTCAGTCCATTAAGTCGTATACATTTTAACTCAGTGTTAGAGAGCCAAGTAGCATCTTGCATCTTCGGAAGAAAAAACCAATGTGAGATTTGTGTGGAAGAGCATTACTCTGATAGTAGGCAGTGCCGCGCTCGCTTCTGTTTCTTAAAATTAAATATAAAAAAGGATTTTTTTTTGAAATAAAATTTGATTTCAAAAAGTCATTTCAGTTGGTTTGGCAGCTTTTTTATTACATCACGAGAAAATCCAAAGGAATCAAGAAGGGACACGTACCGGCACAACCACAGTGCCGATGAAGGAACTATTACAATTCAGGGAAGGTGGTGACGCGGACGAGGCGGGGAGGACGGTGAAGGGCAGAGCGAAGGACGGTGATGAAGAAATCTTGATGACAAAATTTACCCTAGCAGTGCAAAATAGCCGGAGCAAAAAGAAAAAATATAATTTCTTATCAGATTTTTGACAGGCGGCTCACCGACCCAACTGTGTCCGGCGTGCTTTTTTGCAACCTCGCGGGCATCGGAACTCCAAAGCAAAACGGCCGGGCAATATTGCTGATCATAATTTTCGTCTTTAATTTTAGATAACAAATTACACTCACTTCCCCAGTACGGAGTAATGAGCTAATTTGGTGGTCAATATAAGTATAGCTTCCGTTCGTCAGTTTTTTTTTTCCTGTGCTAGCACTTTTTCTCGCAAAAAGCAAATGCCTAAATATACGTGCCGGGTAGTAGTACACAAGGCCAACAAAAATTGCGCGTAAATTTGAATACTTTGAATAGAACATCTGGAAGCCACTGTAAGACGCCCGAATGAACTGCTT